TGGTTAATTTATGAAAATGACTCGAGAGTCAAGATTAGCTTCTCTAAAGTGGAAGAAAGTGAGAAAAGACAGTGGATGTGAATATGTTTCAGAACATAACTTTTGCACAACACAGAGATGCATGCAGGCGGGTACACATGGTGGAGGAAATTCGGGGCATCGTTCCCAGTGATGAGCTCACCTCCGGGTGTCAGTGACCAGCCTGTCCCTGCCCAGGAAGATGTCACCCTTGGCGAGATCCCTGCCTTTTTGAGCAGAGAAGCAGAGCTAAGGGGGACAGCGGAAATCAATTGTACTTGATGCAGTAGAGAGAGGTCAGAGGGCAAAGACAAAAACAGTGAGTGAGGAAAGGAGAGGCTAGCAAGGACACATTCTCTCATCTGCAATGTTGATTAGCTCTTTCCTCGCAAATTAAACTTGTTGTGTCGATGCGAATACTGTTAAACTGACTGGTGGAGATGTCTTTGCGCTATGTTTGCCTTGCAGAGCAGAGCAAGGATAAACAGGGGCATGATGGATTTCCATTGATGAGCTTTCGCTGCCCTTTACACTGTGATTCATCTTTTGGCTTCATAGAAAAATCCACAGGAAAAAGTGGATGCAGAAAAGAAGACACATTTCTGTTTTCAGTTGTATTTTTAGGAGTTTTAAAGATTTAAGATAAGCAACCAAAATAATGCAATAGAAACACATTCTCTCACAGCGTTTGTTTAGATCGTCTGTGCTGTTTCTCAGATGCAGTTTCCTTTAGAGAGCGAATCAAGTCAAATTGAGTTGTGGTGTTTTTTCTCTCTAAAAAGACTGAAAAGGATTAGCAGAGTTTTTTATTTATTTATGTATTTTTTACCAGGTCTTGTTCAGTATACGATCAAAACATGCCCAGTGGACCTCATTAGCAGTGAGAAAACAGAAGTGTATATTACCTCTGACCATCAAAAGGGCTTTAATCAGCCTCACTTGGCCTTCTATTAAAAGTTCTTGGTTGGATATGTACTGTATGAATATGTACTGTAAATAATAAGCATGAAATACATGTAAACACCAACCCCCACATATCATGTGGTTGTCATAGTTAGAGGCTTTTTTTGAGTTGGGGGTGGTTATATATGATACTTTACTGCTTCTAGCTCACTTTGAGTAAAATCCATAATTTATTGACTTTGTGATCATTTTGGCAATTCTCTGAACCATTTAAGAAACCTTGTTATTAATTATTTATTGGCTGCATTTGAATCCACAAGAGCAGCAGAGAATCTGTGGGTCTCTTGGGAGATCATAGAATAATTTATGTGCTATAGAGCTATATATTTGAGCGAGAAATTGTTGCAGTTATGTAAGGGTGTTGCTACTGTCAGACTATATAATAGCACCCTGGAGCCCTTACAGCTCTTTGAGGAGATATTTTGGCAAACTAGGTTTTTGTCATCCTTTAATCTTGTGACTGTATTCAACAAAGAAAACCACTGATGCCTAAATGTTAAGAGTCAAAATAGGCTTTTTCTTCCTTTATTCTATTGCCTAGCTGCAGTGAGGCAAGTTTTAAAAATGCACTTAATATCTCAAACAAGTTTTTATATCTTTTGGGCTTTTTATGTAGCCTTGTATGTAAATCCATTGGAGGGCTCAAGTTAAAAACAACTTTTTGCTCAACGTCATTGATGAAACCAAGTGTGGTATATAAAGAATGTTTAAAAGAACATTTCTTAGGCAAACTAAATTTTAGGATTTGCTGGTAAAGCCAAAAACAAAGAGGTTTTCGGTAGTAGAATGCATGTTTGCTTCCCGGTAAATAGCAGGCCGCTCTCAGTTCTTATGCAGCTGAAAAGCTGATTTCACCAATCATTGTTCTGTGTTATTACCGCTGAGTCACTTTTGATCTGACTGATCCTGATTACAGTGAATACTGCACAGTCATTGCACCACATCTGTCTCAATATGAAGCTGAGGCAAACTGACTCGCTTGCGTAGTAAGTTTTATTTTCCACTGAATGTGTACCACATATGCCACCAAGTGTTATTAAGAAATATCTTTTAATTTACACAGTGAGTGGGGATGAGGGTGTTTGTTGCCACTGAATTATCAGGTTCTTAATATTGACTTTCTAATTGGTTCTGTCTTGACCATTACAGTAACGTTATTGTATAGGCTACTTATGCAAAATAAAACATTTCAGCAAATGTTTTTTATGCATTTCAGAAAAATTGCGCTTCTGCTTCTGCAAGTTACTAGTACTTATTATATGTTCAGTAATTAACATCTCCTTGTATAGAATTATTCCATAGAGCAAATAAGATCAAACTTGATTCTGAAAGGAAGCAGTACCTAATTCTGCAGTGTTACCATGCTCATACCCTGTTGGATTACATTTAAAGGAATAGTTCAACATTTTGGGAAATAGGTTTGTTTGCTGTTTTGTCAAGAGTTAGATGAGAAGTTCAGTACCACTCTAATCTGTAGATGGATTGTTTAACTTGACTGGTCGAGGCTGAAATTTTTTTGGGATAGGAGTCCATTTCACTTTTTAGCACGGGATTGGGACGGGACAGGAAAAAAATTCATTGGGAACGGGTGAGGCAGAAATAATAGGTAAGTCTTATATAAATATAAATATGCAGTTCTAATATAAATAAATCACCCTCTAGTTACAACGCCCTGTCAAGAAATGGTTCATAACAGTAACTTGTTTGTGTACAGATTAAAGCAAGAATATATAACTATAACAACAGAGGCTACAAATGACAATTATGGCATAATACTAAATGTTTTAATACTAACAGTTTTTTTGCATTTAGCCAAAATGTTAAGCTATTGCAAAGTGAAGAAAAGTAGTAAAGTCTGTGAGCTGACTCAGAATTGTCCATAATATGACGATATTTACCATCACCATATTTAACATTAGCCATCACCATCTACAGTATACCAGACCAAGTAGCAGCGAAACCCCTGAGTGCATAATGACATTTCCCTAAAAGTCAACAATTACATTGAAAATACTGATGCATCTAAACTAACTCAAATTGATAACAGGACCAATTTAGTGGCAGCATCACAACCATGTGGATTCAAAGAGTCTGCAGGTTTTTACTCCAACCAGTCATGATAAAAGCTGATCTCACTGACCCATGCCAAACACTCCAACATGAGCAGTTTGTTCTTGTGAAAGTAAAAAAAGGCCACACAAACAATACCTTGGATCTAGCCCCAATTAGAATTCGAGACACACTTTGACATTAGCTGCTAGAAATGCCTCAGGTTGTTTGAGTTTGTTAGCTTACAGCAGGCAAAGGTCAAGTTTAAACTAATTTCCTCATCATGGGCAAAATCAAATCAGTAAACATCAGCTTTTAATTGATACATGAAAAAGACATACAGGTTTAGTACAAGAAAGAATTTTTTTCAGTAGGCCAGATATCTAGTTGAATATGAAGACTACATGTAAAGGTTCTTTCTTTTTGCTTAATTATAATTTATAATTATTTCTTTGTAAGGCAATATAGCTGGCTAAGAACTAGAAACGTGGACGTTATTTTTGTGCCAGATTTGCTGCACACCTAAAGTGCATTGATTCATTAAAGGAACATGATTTAGCTTTATCATTCATGGGTGTCACATCAGGAAATGAAACTATCCCTCTGTTAGAGGTCCAGAGGCAAGGGCATACACAGAGATATGATACATGAAACCCTCACACGCTTACTGTGGTGGAGACATATTTTGGGTGTCACTGTCCTCTTTGCTCCTCACAATTTCAGAGACAAGCAAAGGGAAAGAAATCACGGGAGAGATGCACTGTGAGGTGAGGAGGATTTGAAGGAGGGATACAGAGAGAGAGAGAGAAGGAGGCACCACCATCGACTGCAGCACAAAAAATGAGTGAGCGGAGGGTAAGGGGGAGGGCAGAGTGGTGATAAAGGACAGTGAGGGAGCTGGAGAGAGAGAGAGATGGAAGGAGATAGAAGGGGAGGCGGCATCTGCTCACTGCGGAGCCTTTCATTGATAAAGTAGCGCTTGTGTAAGCCAGAGGACTGCAGCTGGACACATCACACACGCCTCATGTACACACCTCCTGGGTGTTTGTTTACAGGCTCACACCACCACAGAATCAGTGCATCCACTCAAAGTGCACTCTAAACAAGTGCATCTCTGAGGACACACACTAATCCCACAGTGACATGCTCTTATTGAAAACGGACAGCAACATCATCAGCGGACTCTCCCTCCTCTTCTCTCCACCCTCTTTTGGGTATGTGGGCATAATTCAGTGACAAACAGGGAAGCGACACCTGAAACTGAGGAGCAGGAGCTGGTGCATCTGATCTGGGACCAGTTTTTGGAGGAGTCCTCGGATTTAAAAACAAAGGCTGTTAAAGCTGCAGGGGAATCAGCCAACGCAGCAGCATAAAGGTACGGAAGGATGAATGCATGCCTGCATACAGTGCATGCGTTTATACACATACACACTTTGGAGGGATGTGTAAACACACATTTGGATACACTTATACATGCATGGGTCAACTTCCCCCACACACACACACACCTGACAGTTCACTGAGATTTTCTCCTCACAGCAACAGGAGCTGACACCTCTCTCCTCCTCTCCATCTTCTTGTGTGCATCTCTTTCTCTCTCTCCCTTTCTCTCTTACTTCTGCTCTATCTTTACCTCTATCCTGACACCTAGCTGTTGCAGTAATCTCATTCTCATTGCAGTGTTCCTTCTCTCTCTCCCTCACATTTTGGTCCATCTGCCTCCTCCACCTCTACCTCCTCTCCCTCTTACTCTCCTTCTCCCATCCTCTTTTTGCCACCCCCCACCACCCCCACCCCAACCTCTCTCTCTCTCTCAACACAGAGGCGTGTCTCTCATTTGCTGTCCCGCAAAAGCCACAGCTCTCTCCTCATGTCTTAAACAACTCTCCCTCTCTCTCTCCCTCTCTCTCTCTCTCTCTCACCCCCTTGTCAGCCTGTCCGTCATCCTGGGATCCTCGGAGGCAAGCGGAGTGCCGGTGTCGGCCATGAAGCTGGTTAACGGGGGAGGAGGAGGAGGAGGAGGAGGAGGAGGAGGCGGTGGAGGAGGTGCAGGAATGGCAGGAGGGGGTGAAAAGACCGCCTTTTCCTTTAAGAAGTGCTCCGCTTTCCAGTTTGTCAAGAGAAAGGTGAGTTTGGGATGAAACACACAGACACACATACACACACAAACACACACATTTTTGGATGGATGCATATGTGAGCGTGTGCCTACACATGCACCTACACAACCAAGGTGGGAGGTGTATTGGCTGAGAGAGGAGGTGTCACAGCCGGAGTGTTCCCTCTCTCCCTCTCCTTCTGTGTGTGTGTGTGTGTGTGTGTGTGCGTGCGCATGTGTGTGTGCCAGAGATGATGTCATTGTGAGAGCTAAGCCGCGCTAATCAGGTGCAAAGATTCGGCTCCCTGCGCATCTGTTTTTACTGCGTGTGTGAGTGTGTTTCTCTGTGCATTTTGTGTGTGCGCGCATGTGTGTGTGCTCCCAAACACTGTTGCATTACAGAACCCACAAGTGTCTGTTGTCTGGAAATCATGACATCACTGAGCTGGCGAGGTCCTATAGTTTAGGATCTATACTCAGCATATCCTGCGTTATACTGCAGTGCTGTCACACGGCTCATTACCTTTGTAATGGTAATGGTTTTGCATTAAATGCTTTCCTTGGTTGTCGTGTTTGTGTAATGGCTGTTTGTGTGCTGACTTTTCCAAAACAAAAGTACAATCCAGTGATTTAATGGACTACAAAACTGCACTTGGAGGATTTTGGCGCAGCTTTCTAATTAGGCCTGCTTTATGAAGATTTTATAAGTTGTAACTAATGGCTTTAGTAATGGTCAATAAATCATTTGTTGTTGAATATAACTGGTGTGTCTCATTAACTAGCTCCTTTTAACTAGGAATTCATAAACATTTACAACTGCAGGCAGGTTTTTTGGCCTTCAATCCCACTTTTACTAACTATATTCAAATTACAGTAATAATTACTTACCGCAATACACTGGCATTTATATGTCTCAGACCATTTGATTAAAGCGTTAAGACCAAATTATCAAACCGCTGACTTTGTGGACTATTAAAGTGGAACAACTCATTAACCCTTATTGATGACTTACTCACTTTCTAAAAAGCCATCAAGGCTGCAGTTATACATTTTAGTAAGTCATTAATAAAGAGTCATGGGTTGCTAACTTTTAATGGACACATCAGGATGAGAGAAAGAGCAAGCTAAAAGAAACAAATAAGGTTTGCTAGAGGAATATATGAACTAGGGATTTTTCACAGGCACCAAAAAGTTGTATTTATTACAAGTCTTATTTCTGCACTATAAAGAATTAATAAATTGTTTATTAACAGTAATACAGCCATTAGTTGTAACTTGCTAAACCCTTACAACGTATGCTTCATTAGAAAGTAGATTGTCCAATGCTTCAAATTATTGCATGCATTAGAAAAATAACAGACATGGAGCTAAAATATTAGTCAGTTAACAGCAAATGTATCAGCAACTGTTTTGATAACTGACGAATCATTTAGTGATTTTTGTCCATCCATCCTGCATACAGAGTCGCGGGGGCTGGAGCCAATTCCCAACCATCGGGCCAAAGGTGGGGTACACCCTGGACAGGTCGCCAGTAGTGATTTTTATGATTTTAAAAAAAATAAAAGTGCAAAAGAAGTCAGTGGTTTCTTAGTTTTTCATGATTATAAATTGAAAATCTTCGGGTTTTGGACTTTTTGATAATGGTAACTTAGGCTCTGAAAAATTGCAAGGATGCCCATCAGTACACCCAGTGAATTGTCACTGTAAATAATGCCATCAAACACTGCTAAACTGATTGACATGATCAGGGATTTGTTGGACTTGTAAGCGTCAATAGTATATATTGTCATCTGTCTCAACCTCCATTAGCGTTTGTTACACACACTCAAAACATGCCAAGCTTGAAAAACAGTTCAACTTCTGTTTCCTCCAATCTGAATAATTTGCAGCCGATTTACAGGAGATCAAAAGAAAACACAGAGCAGCATGGCTGCAGGGTATTACAGGAAGGAAATGACTAATATTACTTTCAGCATGTGGAGGAGAGGTGGAGTGATACATTCACTCAATAATCACTGTATTGCTTTGCTATGGCACACCATTATTTTTTCCATTACGCAAACTGTGTAATATAATAAATCAGATAACAAAGTAAGGCTTTATTGCACAGGTTATTATGTTCAAGTTACCACATTTTCAGCCTAAGGGAGTGAATGCGTTCCAGGATAACAAATTGGGAACAATCAACAATCATTTAGGTACTTGATAAATAAACCCTGGATTTAGGTCGCTGGGTAGATATAGATACTTTTCTAGTCTGGCTGTGTCATGGAGGTGTGTCTCTTGCTAGCAGCAGGGTTGTCCAGAATGTGTGTTATCATGTGTTGGTCTCAGATGGCATACAGTATGGTGTGGATCACTGATGACTCCGCAGGTTAATACGGGCAGATTGTGTTAACACCCACGCACAAATACACATGCACTCCCACAGGCACATTCTGCTGCAACCAGTCTATCTATCTATCTATCTATCTATCTATCTATCTATCTATCTATCTATCTATCTATGTTCAATATTTAGCTGTTCTTGGCTTCCTTTTGCATATTTCTGTATAGAGCTGGCTTATTTGTCTCTCTATTTATCTCTAAGTAAACCTAATCACATAATGGAGAAAGCTTGAGTCCAGACAGAGTACTGTAATCATACAAATGAGTAAGGGAAACAATGGAAGGAAATATAAAATCAATGGCTCCGTTTGTGCTTTTGGTCTGTGTGGTCGGACTGTACATTTCAGGTGATGATGAGAAACACAGATACAGAGATAAATAAAATAAATACAAAGGCAATTTTGCTCCAAACAGGGTTGAGGGACGCAACATTTCCCCAAAGTGATATCAAGATATGGTCTGCAGTTTTTGAGATATGACAGGTTCAAACAATGGACAAACAAACCCGTCAAAATGATGATGTAATGCAGGCCTATAGCTCCTAATGAGAGGAAACCACACTGCCACTGTTGTGAACGCCATGTTTTTAGGCCTGAGGTGAAAAAGTGTTAAGCTTCAGATGACGCCTCTCATCAGTTTCAGCGTGAAATCTTAAACAAGAGGTATGACAGAGCACTGTTTGATCCATGGGGTAGTGCCAAAACATTCCTCACTCTGCTTTGAATATGATGGCAAATAACAAAGGAAAGAAAAAAAAACTATAATTGGGTGTAACGTCACTCACAGGTTAATGTTCACTGTGAACAAACCTGCATGGTAGTATTCTTATTTTAGGTGTGTGTTATTGGACTTCTGTGCCAAAGTCCAACAGTGGCTGGTTTGTTTTTGCATTTGACCTGCTGGAGTGTTTTTCCAAGTCTGTTTTCCTTTAGACCCAACATGCCTTGACATGCTGTCTGGCTACCCTTCGACTTAGGCATTCAATCACAGTGTTTGTCACAGATGTCTGGACTCTGTGCTGCTCAGTCACGCAGGCTATTGCCCTGTGGTGCGTGTTTGCTAAATGTTCGACTCACGCAGCAGGATGAGATTTCATAAGGTTTCTCATGAAAATTTTGCCTTTCTCTCTCCCTGTCGCTCTCCTTCTGTCTCGCATGTGTCTCCCTTTTCTATTCCCTCTCCATTTTCACCACCTGTCCTCCACACACACACACACACACACACACACACACACAGACTCTGGGTATTATGGTTTGTGATGGTGCTTTTCTGGGAAGTCTTAGTCACTGCAGGAGTGGCGTGTGTATGCAATGTGCTTGCATGCACCGACTTGCACATGTGTCGGAGATACCTGTCTATTAAATACAATGCCTCTGTCATTGCTGGTACTGTCCGGCTGCATAATGTGAACATCTGCTAGTGACAGGGATGTCACAGAAGGATTTTAATTTGTGATAATTCATCATAATAGCCACATATGGATTGAAGTCCCCTTACTGCAGAGAAAGCTTTCTCCAAGTTCTTCAGGAGTATTATTGACATTCAAGTCAAGCAAGTCGAAGGCAAAGATTCCAGAGAATAAACTTCGCTCTTCCTCATATTTGAGGGTGCCATCAGCATTATGCTTGTGTCATCAACATGCGACAGACATGTGTGTGTGCATGTATGCCATTCTGTGAGTGTTCACATGCTGATTCATGTGTTCAAAGTGTGGCAGAGCAGAGAAGCAATCTGTGCCTCTTTGAAGTGCAACTCTGTGTGTGTGTGTGTGTGTGTGTGTGTGTGTGTGTGTGTGTCTGTGTGTGTGCGCGCGCGTGCGCGTGTGTGTGTGTTAAGGGATAACATGAGAAACTCCTCTTTCTCTGATCAAAGGAGCAGGTGGCAGGGTTGACAGTGTGTGTGTGTATGTGTGTGTTTGTGGAGCACCTGTGCTGAGGACTTAACATGTGAATAATAATAAGAGAAAGTCAAAGTGAGATCAAAACAACCCTTTTCTTCCAAAGAATGAATTTCTCATGCTGTTTTTGACACGAATACTTCTTTTGTAGGTACGAAGATGGATGAGGAACCCCAAGGTGAGCGTGGAGAAGGCCCAAGGGAAAGGCCTCCTTTACTCCTGTCCAAGGTGTCCACTGGCTGAGGACCTGTGGTACACGCACTTCCCCTCGCCTTACGGCTGCTGTCACTACAGCGGCCTGCAGGGTGGTCAGTACTATCACCAGGAGCCATGCTCGCCATGCCCTGCCAGCGGGCAAACCAGTAGCCATGACAAGAGCAAGGGCTGCAAGGTAAAGGGAAAAACAAACAGATTCATGTGTGTGTCCATGAATGCATTTGTGTTACTACTCATGCATCAAGTCACACTTTCTCACTCTGTGATTCACAATCAACTGCTGAGTGTCATTTCAATCAGGAGAGACATCATCTGAGTGAATGAATAATTTGTTGATATGTGCACCATGAATATGGGAAATGTGAATATTTTTTGGCTATTAGACCCCATTGTGATGTCATGGTATTTAAAGGGGGTGGTGAAGTTGTTAAGTGGAATGAGGTTTGACACACACATTCTGGATTCCCTTCAGCTTTCCGTACTGTATTTTCAGTACAAATAAAACTTTAAAAAAAAAAATGTATTATCTATTTCATGATGTGTGATATGCAGAGGGGACCACAGATGTCTCCCTCTGGCCTGCAGTAGGGAGTCCACCAACACGCTCATTAACAAACACTTGACTCATTTTACACTCCTCCCTCTGTTGGCCTATTAGTGCTCACTGAAAGTAGTCAAATTAGATAACATCACACTAGGCATTGTTCTGTTTGTCTTTATTCTTGACGTAACATAAACACTAAGGCGACTGAAGACTTGGGGCGTTTTTCAAAGACCCCCTTGTTGTTGTTGTTGTTGCTGTTGTTGCTCACCACTGGCTGGTGTTTGTGAAATCAGGGCAGGAGGCAGCAGAGAACATGAGCACTGTAAAACTGTTAAAAATTAAATAGAATTTACACCAGTGCCAGGAACAGCATGCTGTCAACAAGCGCCTTGCCCAAACACACACTAGTCCATCCACACATAATGTTGCTGCAGGTGTCCAGGTTGGCCTTGGTTATGCAACTGCCTTCACAATAGCTTTCCCACTATGATCAATCATCATACCCATCAATTGGTTCCCCACTAGTACGTGTATGTTTGTGTGTGTGTGTGTGTGTGTTTTCTTGAGTCCCATGGGCGACAGGAGAGAATGAGTCATCACTGTCCCAGCACAACAAAGCCACACTATACTGTGTGCGTTTACATGTGAGTGTGTGCACTGACAATGTTGAAGAGTGTAAGAATATAAATCTAGGATTGTGTTGTTGTCCATCACTCCATTCTTTATCCTGCATCCCTTTTTTCCACCCATTTGTTTCATTTTGCTCTGGTTTTCTTCCTGGCCATTCTGTCTCACCCTCTCTCTCCATCAGTTCCACCTCTTGCCATCACAACCAATAGATCTGTCACTAATATCTCACTGGAGATAACCGGTGTGTGCGTGTGAAGAATTAATGGGTGCTTTGGCGATGTGGGAGCAGACTGGGGGGGTTCTGTGGTGAATCATAGCCAGTTCTTAATGCAGTGTGTGTGCGAAATCAATGCAAAGCCAATGTTGAGTTAAACAGGTAGTAGTCACATGTGGCTTTCTGATCCAATAAATAAATAAATTATTGACTACATTTAAACTGGAAACTTACAACAAACAATAGCAGTTAGATGCATATTCTAAACATGGATTGAAACGCACTATTTGACTTTGTGTGGCATTAGCAAATACTCATACAGCACACAGATGTCATGTTCTGTACGGTTCCCCCACGTACTGTACCACATCTCGGCACACTCTGTCCACATGTAACAACTCAGGCCCTCAGAGTTGGTTTGCCAAACACTCACAGAGTGTGACGCTCGTTCAATAATGGAAACAGTGACAGAAACATTTCCTCTAGCACGCCAAACACACTGCTCTGTTCTTGAGGGTTGCCACCCACGGCTTACTCAAGTGCAAATGAGCAAGGCTTTACCATGAAATTTGTCAGCATTTGTCAACAAGTGACTCGGATTTAAGAAAGTGGGGTGATGACGCCGAGAGGCTGCGGTCCCATTTTAGAGGGGGGAGGAGAGTCAGGCTTTGACAGACAGTGTAAGTGTACAGTGTACTTAAATGTGCAGAGACAAAAAGCTCCAGGGGACATTTGTCATGGTCTGATACAATGCCCTTTATTCTTTAATTTTTATACTGTTGTAAATCTAGAAGTCTAACATTTTGTCTTAAGTGTCCCGTATTTATGGTCCTGAAATAGTTAATCTGTACCTGACCATAAAATGCAGGTGTTTGTTGCAAGAGGAGCTGCATCTGAACTGATGACTGACTGATTCCACTAACCCTCTAGAGGCAAAAAATCTATTAATTATGAACTCCGCAAATTTTAATTAACATAAGGATATTTACTTACATTGTTCTGTCTCCAGAAAGGCTTCCCTGACAGATTGCCAACCTCCACCTCTTCTTCATTAAAAATCCATCACAGCACCATTTTTTCTAATTGCAAAATGTCAGCACCATTTAAAATGGCTTAGCTCAGCCTTGACCCAGTACTTTGCATAGCTTTCACCCTGCTGCTACTTTCAATCAGTCTGTCAGAGCCAAAGCTAAATATAAACCAACTTTATGGGACCGATCTTATTATTTTATGAGATCACTGTACTCAATTTATGACACCTGCGGGTAAGGGTAATTTTTGGAAAAAATTAGAAATAAAAATAGACAAAGCGTAAATAATAATGGCTGGAGAGGTAAAATGAGAGCAGTTGAGGGGAAATACACAATGGAAACAGCAGTGATAGAGAGAGAGAGAGAGAGAGAGAGAGAGAGAGAGAGAGAGAGATGAGAAGAGCTGACAGGACAGTTTATGAGAAGATGGAGGATGGGGTCAGAGCATTTGCCCCACTGCCTGAGCATGACCAGAAATCAAAAGCATATAAATCCTCTTGGTAAGGACGTTATGTACTGTCCCATGTACACTCCAAAAGACTCACATGCGCACACACATACACACACACCAAACGCAGCCTTTCCACTAATCTCGAAGATCCGAACATCAAGCCTGTACTGTTCTTAGTGAAGATGTAAGATGTAAGATGTAATCAAAAATGAAAAGAACATGAACTTCTGCTGACTGCTGATTGTCATGGCATGTTATCTCTCTTGTCACACAATTTCAGAATTTTTATAGAATCTTACAGGAACTTCAGTAATGCTTTATATTACATCCCACAACGTTGTGGTTAAGTTACAGTGTAAATATTTTGTACACACAGGTTATCAACGGAACACTGCCTGGAAACTAAAGCAGTAGAAAATTAACTGCTTTATTTTGCAGGCCACAGGCCCCAAATTTACACTATAATAGAGGGGCTTTTTCCTATATGTTTAGGGCTTTGTCCTGATGGCAGTGTTCATCCACAAAAAAGTTAATTTCCTAAAGAAAAAACAATATATATATATTTGTAAGTATATTATTATTATAAAATACAAGAAATCAGTGCTTTTCAAAGACTGTGACTATTATTCTTTGTCTTACCTCAATTTGGGGGCTGGTCCAGCTCTAAGTTTTGGAACTACAGTCCCCATAATTTGGAGGCGTTGGAGGACGTAAACAGGAAGTATGATGTTGCAGTGGAATCAGTTAGTTAGTTAGCTATGGGCTGCATCTTGGGCCCACACCCTTGCACCATTAGAAGCATGCCGAATTATCTATTAGCACTTCCTGTTTGCAAATTACTAATGGATGTACACACAACCCTCACTGGACTACTTTGATACTGAAGAAAACTTAAAACCGTGATGATTCTCAGGCTAGTTCTGGGGTGATAAGGAGTGTCTTTAAATAACGGTTTCTTATGGCTTCGCGATGGAAATGGGTATAGCCTAATGATATCCCCGGGAAGTGTAATCCACACTGTAAATGTGTATCATGTCTGTGTGTTCAGAATTACTCGCCTCTAAGACAAGGAAGACAGTGGGTCAAATTCCTCCAGAGCTGTGTGTTGCAGACACGGCTGTTGGTGGTCTGTGTGGTTGGTGAGCGAGCGAGCCAAACTATAACTAACAACAACTAACTTCCTGTTGTTTTTAGAACACCACCATGCACCTATAGCCTGTTATAGCACAATATATGTGTAAGTCCCTGTTAAACACACACTTCTTAAGTCTTTGCTTTCTTCCATTTTCCTCCATGGTACAGGTAGCCTATAGTTTATGGATATCCCATATGTAATTAGGCTACTAACAAAACAGCAAAATTACTATATTTTAATATTATGTAACTTTATTATATAAGCTAATAAGCATTCCCAAGCTGCTCAGTGAGATTATTCCCATTTCCTTATGGCCTGTTCTGGGTATAGATCAGGTGATAGTGTTAATCAGTCCGTTTATTCAGAATGGTTTGAACACCTTTACCCAGAAAGGCCTGACTCGCTCAGGTCCCATTTGTGTTTACTGTCCAAAATTCATTCATGCAGAAAAAAAAAGGAGAGAGAGGGCAGGAGAGAGGAAGAAGGAAGGAAGGCAGGGAGTAAAGCAGAGAGGTTCGGGTGTGAAGAAATGCACCAAGAGCAGGGATTTTTATCTACTTCCATGCAGCCTCAGAGATGTTGTTGATTATTGATTAGATCTCAGCTGAAAGTGTTGGTACAAAGTAGAGGGCAATATGAATTTTCTAGAAACATGCTTGGGTGCGGAAAAAGGCTTACCTCATTAGTCAGTGAGGTAAGTTCACCTTGTTAATCTTTTGTTAGAGTCAGCTGGAACAAAAGCTTGATCATACTGTACCTTTGTCCTCATGTTTGTCATGTGTGAGTTGGTCACACCGCTTCATTCTCTGCAGAGACAAAACAGAGGGGGACAACCTGTTACAAATCCACCTCTCTTGTTCTCCCTCAGCAGTGACAAGGCCCTGCAGGATAATCTCTGTTCCATGAATGCTAATGCATCGTGTCTGAGTCAGTGAATGAGACCAGGTGGAGGCAATCATGGTGGGCTGATTTCACTCAAAGATCCTGTCAAGTGAGACAAGTGAGTCGATCACAGGTACAAATACAAATCAGGCATTCAGGTCAGGGGAGGGTTAGATTTATATTTCTCCATTTGATGGTGCATTATGTTTTCTCAGTAATGTGAGAATGCGCGTCTACTGGACTTTGAACTCCAGACTTGTTCTTGACGCAGTCTTATCTGTGAAGTAC